TTTTTATTTGACGAACTGGTAGCCTTGGTCTTCCATTGTTTATTGCTTTTTGCCTTAGTTTTGCTACAATAAAGAACATTAATTTGATCCTCCACAAAATCTGGTGCCGTTAGACACCAGACCTCACAATTGATATTATTTTCCCATTATGCTACCTGGAAACAGTAACTCTTTCTACTTACTGTTTTCAATGGCCAGGGAAGAGGTAGAATAGTCTTCCCACAGTGGATCGGCCAATAGTAGGCATCTGAGCTATGTCATTCGGCTTTTCGCATGCTAGTTGTACCTAAAACCAAAGACAGGCTCTAGATGAGATGAGCTTGATGCATTCTCAGAAAACATATTACAGCATAAAGCAGATAATTCTAGGCATCCAGGATATTGATGAGATTAAATCTATAGATTTTCAAGCTTTCTATGGCTGACAGCCCATGTATGCCTGTGGTTTTTTTGGGTTTTTTGTTTGTTTGTTTGTTTGTTTGTTTGTTTTTGGAACCAGGGATTGAACTCAGGCCCTTGCGCTTGCCAGGGAAGTGCTTATTCCACTGAGCCATCTCCCTGGCCCCCTGTGGTTTTTATATAAATGCCTTATCCCTAATTCCAGGCCTTTCCATCTCCATTTCTTCACTTTTCCTTTTCTGAATTACAGACCTGACCATCATTCTTTCAGAGCTGTTTAGGACAAGTGAATTTGTAAGATCCTCTAAATTCATAACGCATAGACGGATTCCTCTACCCATCCAACAACTCTCCAGTTCAACAATCTTGTCTTTCAGGCTTGAACCAGGTTTGAACTTTCGTACCACTGTCAAAAAAATGGACTTGTGAAGTCTTTTGCTCTGGACTGTCCCAAGAGATAGATCTGAAGTACATTAAGTGCATTATGTCTGGTCTCTTCTAAGTAAATCTTTGATATTGTCATTTCTAATCCATTTTCACCAACAAAGCATAAATTTCAGGATCCTTAGGCACATGATGTCTACTTTTGCAATGATGTGATGTTCTGTAACCTAGTAAAGAAAGAGCCCTCTTTTCTTAGAAGAGTGTTACTGTCCTATACAATTTTGAATTTAAAAGGAACCATACCTCTTTGGGGTATAATAACAATTCTATTTTTCGTAAGAAAGGAGGAGCATTGATCCACTACTTTAACTAGTTTTCATTAAATAACTACTGTTTGCTGTTTAAATTATAACAGGTACTTTGCAATACTGAAGAAATCTTTGCTTTCACAAGGCTTAAAATTTAATGAGAAATGTATAGATAAAAAAATCCAACATGTAAATGAAATACATACTGGGTAGATAGGAGTAAGAGCAATGGAAAAATTTATTAGGAATGAGGAGAAGAAATTTAAAAAATGTTCTCAGTTTAAGAAATATTATGTTTTCCCATCCACATCATTCCATTTAAGTTTCTTCCTTCTCTTGTACAAGTGAAGGTCTTTCTCCTTCTGCATACCATGATAATCTGCAATCACATATTTGTTTGATGACTTACATTTTTAGCACCAGTACATCCCACAAAAATGTGAGCTTTAGGCAGATAATACTTACAGATGCATCTCATTTATGGCTATTTCCCCAGTATACAGCCTATATTTTAGCAGGATATATGGTGTGTACATATTTCATATACTAAAAAAGAAAATTAATTTTATATACTTTCCATTCCCTACAATATAATAATTCAGAGCCTCACAGGCCTAAAATACAAGCTTCTATTTTTATAGCATGCCAGGCTGCTTTTGTTTCCCACCGTGGCATATTGAGATCCTCTTCTAAACCACCTGCGTGACAGAAACATGTTAGCGCTCTGCTTTTGCCTGCCTGACAAGTACGTCATTATTGAGGGAAAAGTGAAGAGTGATGATTTTTTATGAACAATGAAATGAAATACTTGAAGCAAAATGTCAACTTACCTTCCGGAATATTTCCTGTAGAGGATCACACCAGGCATATTTCTGGAAACCAGCAATAAGCTGTGTGATAAAGTAGGAGCCATTTGTAGCATTTCTCCAAGACTTCGTGTCTATGAAGACATAGAGTGGTAAGCCTTAGAAAATGGTCTTTTACTATGTTGGTATTCTTTAGGATGTTTTTAGACTTTTTTAAAACAAGAGACAAGTATGTCCAAAGAAATGCCACTATATGTTTAGGGAAAAGGCTTATTACCTCAACACAGACTCATTTCTACAGAAAGGAAACAAAAAAATCTGGCAGAGGAGGACCTAAAGTGGAACCTCAGGAGAGCACCAAAAGATTGGAAAATGATTCTACAAGTTGTCTACAATATGCCTTATTCTCATTCACCAGACTGTGGATAGCCTAGCTAGATAACAAGAATTATCCTGTCTAACCAAGGGAAAAATAGGAGCTCAGCAGGGAAAAATAGGAGCTCAGCAGGAAAAAAGAACTTACCCAAGTTCACACAGTGAGCAGGTAACAAAAAAAATGACCTTCTGATATCGTGTTTCTTTCACAACATAATAAAATACACAAGCTGGGTCAGTTTTGGTTACAAAAGATGAATATGTTATAGAGATCTACTGCTCTAGGATAGTGTCAATAGCTAGTAATACTTTATTACATGCCTAAAAATATGCTTATCAGGTATATCTGTACTACATACAAACAATAATAAAAAAGCAAAGGAAGACTTTTTAGAGGATGAGAATCGTAGACATAGATTGTGGTGATGGTTTCTTACGTGCATCTCCAAACTCAGTTAGTTTTGTACATTACATCCATACCTTTATTTGTGTGCGAAGCTAGGGACAGGTGTGTTTACCTGTTCCCAGGATATGGTTTGTTAAAATAAAATTTATAAATTGGAAAATTAGAAAATTTAAATGTAACAATTCCTAAGATGATTACCTAGATGCAAAATACTAACCACTATTCTGGACATTAGACCTCATTTTCACTGTGCCAGTTTCTCCCACTTATCAAAGGGTATCCACATTCCTACTGGAATAGGGATGAATGTTCAGTGCTGTTACTATAAATACAATAACATATGAAATATTTTAAAAAGAGGTTGGAGTATATCATTTAAGAGGCAGCCAATCCTGGGATCTGTAAAATATCTAATCAAAAATGCTAAATAAATTTAACAGAAAATTTAATAAGGATTTCTATGTATTGGTTTGCTTTAATATAGCATATACATTTCATTGTAAATTACAACTTTATATAACAAAAGAACAATTTAAAAGCACATATGAGTATAAACATACCCGTTCCTAAGCACAAGTAATAATTATGAAAATTTATTGATAAAACTCAAAATTTCTCTGTTTGTTAAATTTTTGAGTTCACCTTGATTTTCTAGAATCATAGAACAGTGCCAATAGACCATAAAGATGACCAAACAAATCTTAAAGACACCTACGTGGGGTTGTGGAGTAGAAAATGATGAAATCCTTCTCCACATGGGTCATATAAACAGCGTCTGACTCCAGGGTCTCAGGTGAGTGCGCACGGCTGTGTTCCAGGGCTGCTGGAGAATCTCTGACCCACACGTCCCCAGGGTCTCCTGTGGAGAAAGCAGCCTTCACCACTGCTGTGCCTCTTTAGGAGTGCCTACCGCTATGAGCCATCTTGTTTTTGAATACTATTCATTCTAAGTAGACACACACACACACACACACACACACACACGCGTAGATTTTATCTCCACTGCCATTGAGCAATGTGCTAGTTAATACTGATGGCATCCCGTCAGAAAGTTAAGACGGGATAAATGTAGAGAAGGCCATCTGCGGAGATGAGAGGAGTGAAATCCTCATCTGCAAAATTTCAGAGCATAGCTACCAGATTTGTTTTATTTCATTCTTATTTATTTTTTTAATGTATTTTTGTGCAGAGTCTCACTACATAGCTCGGACTCGTAGTGGTCCTCCTGTTTTCAGCTTCCCCAGTGCTGCGATTGCAGGCATGTGTTAGGATCAGTAGCCGGCTCAGCCCTCCCTGGGGGTGGGGCCTATGTGGCATGTGGTTCTGGGAATCCATCCCTGTGCTTGCCTAAGCAGGCACTTAGTCCGCTGAGCTATCTCGCTGACCAGCTACTAGATTTTTAAATCAATTATTTTTACTTAGAATATTTTGTTCCGAATTGTCATCATCAAATTTCCAGTAAGGAATAAATGAAAACACGTATTTGAAAATAATGTCTCCATGACCGAATGCTCAATATTGATATATCCACCAATAATGTGAGAGAAGAAGGTACGCTTCATTACACAATAAATTGTTCTGTTTTGAATATTTACTATTGTGATAACACATATTACATGTTAGAATGGATGCATTTTACGGTGACGTTTCCATACCTGCGCAGTTTGTGCCAGGCGCATGCCCAGCTCTTTTCTGCCATCCCTCACTCTCCAATTTCTCACCCTTTTCCACAGACCAAATGCCATTCCGAACAGGCCCTTTGCTAGTCTAAATTCAAGTTCATTTATCTTTTAGTTTCCATATAGGAGAGAAAATACCTGATTCTCATCTTTTGGTGTCTGACTTAACGCACTTAACTTGACGTCTTCTGGTTCCATCCACTTTTCGGTAAGTGATGCGAATTCTTTTGCTTAATGAACGCACAATGCTCCACTGTGTTAATGCACCGTATTTTCTTTATCCTTTCATCAGTTGAAGTGCAAGCAATGGTTCTATAGCTGGCATTATGAATCGTGTTTTCACAAAACCGTATTGTAATCTCTTTTGCATGCTTGCATTTCTCTTGGATACACAGATAGGTTTGGACTTTCTTGATCTTATGTTCTATTAATACTTTTTTTCAAGAAACTCCATAAATTTTCCATAATGAGTATACAAATTTGTATTCTTGCCAACATTTCATGGGGCTTCATTTTTTTTCCTTATTCAACAGCATGCATGAAGTTTGTTTCAGGGAAAAGAGCTTTTCTGACTGCTGTGAGATAAAATCTCAACGTCCCTTTGATTTGTATTTTGCTGACAGCTGAAAATAATGAACCTTTCATCTTAGGTTTATTGGCCAGTTATAGCTCTTCTTTTGAGCAGTGTCCATTGAGATTCTTTGAAATGTTGCATTCAATTATTTATCCTTTTTCTATTACTTTTTTACTTCATTATATATTCTGAGAATTAATCTTCTGTCAAATGAATAGCTGCTAAACGTTTTCGTGCACTCTGTAGGCTGTTTTTAAATTCCGTTCAATATTTCTTTAGCTGTACAAGAGCCTTTTCATTCGATGGAGTCCCACTTGTCTTGTTCATTCTCACTTTTGTTTGCCGAGTTGCTGCAGCCCTACACATATAGCAAATCATTCCCTCTGTCCCACATCTTGAAGTGAGTCCCTTACATGTTCTTCTACCAGCTTCAATATACCGGGTGCTACATGAAGGGATATGATCATCTTATATGTAACATGGGAGATAAGGCTAGACTTTCCATCTTTTTGGACATGTGGTTATCCAGCTTCCAAAGCATCTTTTTGAAGAGGCTCACTCTTCTTCACTGTGTAATTTGGCATTTTTCAGTTGGATGTATATACTGAATTTATTCTGGATCCTCAGTTCTATTCTGTTCATGTCCATATTTCTGCCATGCTGGATTTGTTGCTATTGCTCTGTAGTACATTTAAAAATGAAGTATATTGATATGACCAGCACGGCTCTTTTTGTTCAGAATTGTTGTGAGTGTTTTAGAGTTTGTATGCTTTCATGCTTTTTATGAGTTTTAGGATGGTTTATTATTAATTATCACAAACACTTTGTGAGAATCCCTTCCAACTTTCAGTGCCATCTACAATTTTTTTCTTCTTTTTAATAATTTCATTGTGGAAGTCTTTTGCATCCTAAGTTAGTTTTGTTCTGAGGTATACGTGTGTATGTATGAACGTGTGCATGTATCTATATGTTTATGTATATGTATGTATACATGAATGTATGTAATTGAGTTGGTGGTGAATCACATTGTGCTTTTTAATTCGTTCTAGCCAGTTCATTATTGATATATAGAAAAGCACTGAATATACTATGTTGACTTAAAATTTCTGCCAGTTTCATTGATGTTATTGTTAGAGTTTTTTGGTGGAAACTTTAAAGGTTTCTCCCAAAACTCAGAGTGCTTATTAAAAAAGACCGGTAGGAGCAGATATCTTTGCCTTTTTCTGGATCCTGGAGGAAATGCTTTCAGTTCTTCACCATTAGGAAGACACTGGCTTTGGCTTTCTTGCACAGAGCTGTTATTTGATTTTGCACTATACTGCTATGCCCAAATTATTCAGGGCTTTTTGCATGACGGACTTTTCTATGTTTGGTGAGATGATCATGTGATGTTTTTATCTTTGATTCTATTTATTGCTTTGTATTTGTTGAAAAAATATTGCATCCCTGGTATGAAATCATCTTGA